TTTTGGCTCTATTTTATACTTTAGTTACTGCAAATGTATTTGAGCCTAATTATTAATACTTGGTACTTATTGTGTGTGTTATGCTGTTTAGGATGTGATTTCGATTGAAGAAGCAAGTTTGGAGCTAAAATGGATAAATTTGGAACTTTGAAGTTTGAGTCAAAAATCTAACATTGGAGGTTCATATTATGTTTATGGACTTGTTGGTGTAGTTGGATGGGGTCCCGTGCGGCTCGGGTGAGTTTCGAACCACCCGAAGCTAAGACTGGTATTGTTGATATGCTGGTTCTAGTTTCCTTATTCGCGAACGCAGATGTGGTATCGTGTTCGCGGAGAAGAAATTAGAGGATGGAAAATTTTGATCTTCGTGTTCGTGAATAGATGGTCGGGTTAGCGAAGGTTGAAGAACTCTGGCCATCGCGTTCGCGTTCATTGGCCCGCGTTTGCGTAAGAGAAGTCAAGTGTGGGGGTCAACTGGTCCATTGCCCTTCGCGTTCGCATAGCTTGGGTCAGATAAGCCTTCGCGTTAACGAGGCCTGCTTCGCGTTCGCGAAGTTCATTTTTCTGAGCCTTGGCATTTTTGCTTTCGCAATCGTGAGGCCTCTTTCGCGATCGCGAAAAAGGGACCACTAGGCAGAAACAAGATATAAATCGGGACTTAGGCTCATTTTCTCTCATTTCACTTTGGGTTGGCGATTTTGGAGCTCTTGGAGAGGAATTTTACACCTAGAATTTTAAGGTAAGTGATTTCTACTTAATGTGAGTTTAATACATAGATTATGGGTAGATTTTAACATGTAAAATTATGAAAATTATAGGATTTGGTTGAAAAACCTAGGTTTTGGTAAAAATGGGATTAGACCACGAAAATGATTATGGAACGGAGTAGAAATTATATTTTGAATTCGTGAGGTTATGGGTAATATTTATTTGCAAAATTTTCGGAATCCGGCACGTGAGCTTGGGGATGAATTTTAGGAACCTTCCAAATTAGGTTGGGTAATTACTCTAATAGCTAAATTGTGAACTTTTAAGCATATATTGATTAGTTTGTACAACCTTTGGCTAGTTTCAGATTGCTCGGCACCGATTTGAAGCTATTTGTGGACCGGGAAGAGGACTTGGAAATGAAGTAAGTCTCTTGCTTAACCTTGTAAGAAGGAATTATCCCCGTAAGTGTTTTAAATAGTTATTTTCTAATAATTTTGGGTGCGATATATGCACGATGTGAGGAAAGTCCGTACGTAGTTAAAATCATACTTATGTACGGATAGACTTAGGACATTACCATGCATTACTTGTATTATTTGCACCCAACTTGTTAGTTTAATTATTTGAATTTATAATTAAAATTGGATAAATGATTTTGTGAGACCGAGCTACATTACCTTGAGTTTTGGCGGAATACATGATTGTTAGCGAAAATTATGCCTTCTTTGAGTATTATTCCTATGTAGTAGTCATTGATCAGAGTTTGCAGAGTTTCTCTATTCCTGTGGATCAGGCTAAACGCCTCGCCGGTATATTAGATGCATCTATGATTCGCGCCGGTCGACCCTCGACAATGTACACACTATTCTGGATCGGATCGTACGACCTCGGCATAAATCATGCGTGATGTTACTAGGACTCCGATTATATTTGGTATCTCTTTCTTAACTCGGGACTCGGATAATTATTTGGTGGTGTTTACATGATAAATTGGCATGTGATACTTGGGGTTTAAAATTGATATTATGTTAAAGAATTATTATTTATCGTTTCTTATTCCATTATTACTTTGTATTTCATGCCTATTTATAAGTCCTATACTTTATTTATTGACCTCTAGTAAGTGTTGACGTCGACCCCTCGTCACTACTTCTTCGAGTTTATACTAGATACTTACTGGGTACACATTGTTTACGTACTCACGCTACACTTTTGCACAAATTGTACAAGCACTGAGTCAGGTATATCTGGTGTCTGTCCAGGTGCGCATCTGCATTACCCGGAGGCATAAGTGGCGATCTGCTTTCCATGCTCCGATCTGCAGAACTGGAGCCTCCTCTTGTTGTATTTATTATTTCTATCTATTTTGCTTCAAACATTAGTTGTAGGGTTTTTTGTATATTCTACTAGATTGCTCGTGCATTTGTAACACCGGGTTTTGGAATTTACTAGTAGATACTTATGATCTTGTCTATTAATATCACCATTTCACACGTTTGTTTTATTTTATATTTCACATCACCATGGTTAATTATTATTGGTTTCTTGTTAAATAGAATTCATGGCTTTAAAAAGAAAAAAAAAATTAGATAGTTCACCGTTGGCTTGCCTAACGACGACGTTGGGCGCCATCACAGCCTATAGTGAGAATTGGGTCGTGACATAATTATTGTGTATCCCCGTTCGCCCTTTTCAGCCTGTAATCTCATTTATTTGGCAACCACATTACAAGCATAACCCCTTTGTTGGAACTGACCATCTGTTTGAACCTTTTACCTTTATTGATCACTTGAAATTGCTATGAGCTTCTTAAAAGCTAAGTAGAGGTATGGTTGGATTTTTTAGCGGAACTAAAAAAATGAAAAAACGTGCATATGTTCAGAAAATTGTGAAAGTCACGTGTAAGGAATTGAAAAAAGAGTGAATTTGCTTGAGAAAAAAAAAACAGAAACTTGAAAAGAAAAAAAAGAGATAATATGTGTATATATTAAAAAAAATTGATTCCTTGTGAGTGGTAGTTCTCATTCTCTTTGTGCGTAAGGAATTTGGAGCTTGATGCTATTACATTGTGAATGTTGGAATTTGGTTCAATATAAGTGTGAGGTTTTGAATTGATAATGTATATGTATTAAAGTTCTTAGGGAGGTGTAGTCACTATATCCAAATGTATCCTACCCATCCCACAATCTACATTATAACCAAATAAAGTCCTACTTTATCTTTAACTGAGTTAACTCGAATTAGTAGAGTATTACATTACAGGCAAACCTATGGTACGTCTTCTGTGGCATATGAATCTTAATTCTGAGAGTGAGTGAATTCTTTCTATCTTGAGTTCCTATTTGTTCTTGAATTTTGTTGTGTGTGAAACTACTCTCTATTGTTTGTGTGAGGGCATACGACTTGTGAATGAAAGGGAATGTCTTTGCCTTTATGTTAGAATAAGTGATCAGGTTTTTGAAAATACGTGGCACTTGCGAGTTGAGTCTTGAGGCTAGGATATTACGGTATAGTGCTTAGTCTGCTTTAATTATTATTGACAGGATGAGTTAGGTGAGTTGCTTGAAAATGTCGTCTCTAATTGAAGTGTTGTTTGATTACTCAGGGACAATCAATGATTTAAGTGTTGGGTGTTGATGGTAGGCTAGGAACTCGTATTTTGGTTATATTTTACACTCTAATTACTACACTTTAAATGTATCTGAGCTTAATTGTTGGTACTTGGTACTTATTATGTGTGTTATGCTGTGTATGATGTGATTTCGAGTGAAGAAGCAAGTTTGGAGCTAAAATAGATGATTTGGAGCTTTGAAGTATGAGTAGAAGCCCAAAAAATTAAGCCGGCATCACGTTCTGGGGTCGAGGACCAAGTCTGAATATTGTCAAAAAATAAAATCAAAAAGATTACTCAGAGAAAAATGCAGTACCGCCCCACGTCATGCGCCGCAGGGCGATGGTTGCTAGTGCAAAACTCTTGCAGAGTGTAAAAAATAGGCCTCTGAACTTTCCCGCTAATGCGATGCATGGTGCACATCCCTGGGCATTGCGATAGTGTGATTTTTCGTCCAACTTTTTCCACTTCGACTCAGAGAAAGTAGTTTCATTCGGGCTCGTTCCTACATGGTATAAATACACAAAAATGCGATTTTTAGAGCACTTTTGACCTACGGAAGACTGGAAAAACTTTGGAGAGTTTGAGGCACAAGGATTCCTCATTCTTTCCTCAACTCAACAACCGAGTTTGGATTGAATTCATGTTTTCTTATTCTTCAACTCTATCTGTGATAACTTCCTCCATGATTATGGAGTAGTTTACTTTCGGGTTTGACCGAAGTGGTATTTTGATTGATGTTTTGTGGATTTTAACTCTAGTATTTTGCATGAATTCGTTGATGGCGCTTTGAATTGATTGCAATTTTGTTCACCGAATTATGTAATCGAAAGAGGAATATTTTAGGTGATTATCTTTGCACTATTTCGTTTGGTTTAATTCAACGATTCTTTTAAGTAATCGAAAGAACTTGTTGAATTATTGATTAAATCAAGTTAGGAGAATATTCGAGAGACGTTTTCCTAAGGACCGGTCCATTAACATGTTCTTGCATATCTTCACAGTGCATTTTATTAGTTTACCTCGTAAAATTCGGATTTGATCGAGAGAGGAGTCTTGGCTATACGATTGGAGTAATCATCGAGTGAATTTGTGAGAATCATTAGAACATTAGAAGGAATTGAATTGAAGTTAGATCCTGAATAACGATCTTGCACCTATCTAGTCATGACCCTTATTTTGGCTTTTTCAGTGTTGCTCAAATCTTGTCTTTCGTAATCACTTATTAATTGTTGTAGTTTTAATAATTACTTTAATTCATAATCATTCCAACCAAAGTGTTAATCATCATGAATAGTAATAACTCATAAGTTATTTGAACATTATTTAAAATATAATCCTCGTAGAGACGATAATTATACTATACTATCTTTGACTAGCGAGTATAAATTCTCTTGTATATTTTGCGCTTATCAATAATTTTGAATAGTCAATAGTTTTCATGAATATGTTTTGAACACGTACATAATGTTAAAATAAAATACCGGAATAGGAGAACCGGAGTATTAGATCGAACAAGTAAAGTTGTCTAGGGCAATTTTACCTTTTTAAATGTGCAAAATTTTGTTTAAAAATAATGTACGAATTCACATAAAAAACTAATATACGTGTCAGATACAGGGAGTAGGTTCACCGGCTCTCAACGGAGTTAACATAAACCCGAGTTTATTAAAGCGGGTCAATGATTTACTTCGCTGAACCGCTCCTCTCGAGATCTCACACTTTCTTCTTTCTAGGGTTTTTGCTAGGTTTTAAAATATTCCCAAATTTGATTTTCTTCAGTCTGAGTTGAGCTGAAGCTTTTTCTGGCTACAAAACCCTAGACTTTATTACGGGTAAGCCCTCAAAATTTGTACAATTTGATTCACATATCTCGTTAGATTGATTCAGTTCTTTGTGCACTGTGTTTAAACCTTCTTCATACCGTTAAAGATGCAAGATTGAAAACGGGGTTCTACTGAAAAAAGTGAAAAACTTACATTTCTTGAAACTTTTGGGGGAATTATATTTTTGAGAAATTGAGGGACTTCAGGTTTTGTATACTGTTAAAAAAGTGAAGATTGCTGAAAAATGCATTTCTAGAAATTTTGGGGAAGTTGTGATATTTTAGGGAATTTTGAGTTCTGAGTTATGTGAAAGAGACTAGGGTATTGTATACTGTTTGAATCTTCTTTTTACTGTTAAAGATTGAAGTGAGTTCTACTGAAACATACATCTTCGAGAAGTGTTGGGCCAGTGGTGATATTGTTGGGAAATTTGAGTTCTGAGTTATGCGAGAGAGACTAGGTTTTATATACTGTTCGAAACCTTATTATACTGTTAAAGATTGAAGACTGAAGGTGTTTTTCTATTGAAGAGTACATTTCTGGAATATATTTGGGAAGTGGTGATATTTTTGGGAATTTTGAGTTCTGAGTTATGTGAGAGAGTCTTGGATTTTGTATGCTGTCTGAAGCTTCTTATACTCTTAGAAGATTGAAGATTGAAGGTGGGTTTCTGCTGAAAAATACATTTCTAGAAGATTTTGGGAACTTGATGATAATTTTGGAAAGTTGAGTTCGAGTTAAGTGATATGAGGTTTTGAATATGAACGATGGAGGCGGGGAGAATGTGGAAGACAGTGGCAAAAAGAAGAATTCAGGGGTCAATGCATTTTCCCAGGCTATTGCTAGAATTGCCATTGCACAGATATGTGAGAGTGTAGGGTTTCAGGGTTTTCAGCATTCTGCATTGGATGCGCTCTCAGATGTGGCAGTCCGGTACGTTCAAGAAGTAGGGAAGACAGCTGATTTGTATGCCAATTTAGCTGGCAGGAGTCAGGGAAATGTGTTTGATGTGATTCAAGGGTTGGAAGATTTGGGTTCTGTCCAGGGTTTTTCTGGTGCTTCAGATGTCAATCGCTGCCTTTTTAGTTCCGGGACGATCAGAGAACTAATTAGACATGTTAATGAGGCTGAGGAGAACCCCTTTGCGTATTCTATTCCCGGTTTTCCAGTTGTCAAGGATGTGAAACGAAACCCTAGCTTTGTACAAGCTGGAGAAAGCCCCCCAGAGCACGTGCCTTCTTGGTTACCAGTGTTCCCAGACTCAGAAAGCTACTCAAATTTGAATTCAGCAGAGAAGAAAGACAGTGATTGTAGGAACAGTAAGGTTGAGCAAGTTGAAGAGCTGAGAAATGCGGACAAGCCTTTGGTGCCAAGGAGTGGGTTAGGAGCTTCTGTAGCTATTAGTCAGGAAAATCCTTCCAAGGCTAAAAGAGTAATCCAATGTAATCCGTTTCTTGCCCCACCTCTGCACTTTGGGGAGAAGGAAGTGTCTCAAGTTTCTGTTCCTATTAGACTTTCCGATGAGGTCTCGGTTCAGCCTCAAAATCATGCAACAATGGAGAACCAAGCTTGTATGTTAGAGACATTTGCACCAGCCAATGAAGCAGTCAAGACTGCACCAGTGGACCTTGAAGATGGCGGGAATAAGATTCTATTAAACACCAAATCCCCTGTACAATTTAGATTGAGAAGGAGCGGAAAACCATTAAGTAAGGCAGTTGGTCTTCTGGATAAGGACCATGAGGACTTTGCATCTCCTCTTTGTGCTGAAAATGGAAAAGATGATAAGAAGAGGAGGACGGAGCAGATTCTTAAAGAATCTGAATCCGATATGCAGGATTTGCCTCACTTGTAAATTAGGAATCATTACTTAGAACTTGTATACTAGTTTAGCAAACTGTTGGCAGTTGCTGGTTCCTAGATTATCAAAGTTAGGGGCCTAGAATTGTCTGTGCATGGATCATACAGACTGCTAGAGTGGTAATTTTCACACTTTTCTGAGGTATGTAGTGTCAGTAATATTTTGCACTTTTGTAGTACTATTGAAGTTTCCATTTTTCTTTTCTGGTGTGGTCTTGTTGCCGTTCAACAGTCTATGGTGTGTTAAATGGCCATTAAATCACCCCCCTGCCTCACTTCTGGTGCACTCTATTTTTTTCCCTTGCTGTGTCCTCTTTGGGAAATTTTTTTTCCACTTACAGTTTGCAATACAAATCTGGATCTCCAAACTAAAAGAAAGAGATGAAATACTCAGATGGGAGAGGAAAAAGAAAATATAATAGAAAGGCTTGCTTATTTTAAATTTCTGCAGCATTTTAGGTGTGTTCTTCGGAAACAGCCTCTCTACCTTCATTAGGTAGGGGTAAGGTCTGCGTACACTTTACCCTCCCCAGACCCCGCTTGTGGGATTTCACTGGGCTTGTTGTTGTATTTTAGGCGTGTTCTTCCTTTTTTGGGGAATTGCAGGCTGTTGCATATAGTAAGAGAAATTGTGTAATTGGCATTGATCCCTGATTGTGTACAGGCGTACAGCTATCTAGAAGACCAAATAAGTTTGAACTTTGTGAATTATGTTGCCAGTGGGTAATTAAAAGTCTTGGAATATAATATCATCTTTATTCCTCTGGCTATTCTGATTTGTAGGTTTTATTGCATAGTTTGATGCTGTTGTTTCACTTGATGTACATGTTATGTGCAGATCAAAGTACTTCTTTCTTCCCTCCCTTCTGTCAATGAGCCGTAACAGTGACTATAGTTCACCTACAAACAAGACGACATTTTGTAAGCAACAATTAAACATGATAAACATTTCGGACATAGTACTTGTCATTGTTGTTTAACATTGCACACTTACTGTATAAGTTTAAACTAATACAATATGCGTGCAATGTTAAACAATAACATGTTAATACACTGATAGGTGTCATGGAATCCTTGTAAGAAGAACAAGGATGTAATTGCTCTCCTTAGTAGAATTGGATTTCAGCGCAAGCTTGGTGCTGTTTATATATAATATTTGTTACCATTCTCAAAAAAGCATATTATATAAGTTAAACAGATGTTTACTCTCTTTCACTCAATAGGTGCCAAGCACTTGTCTTTTGAGTTTTGGCAATTGTGTAAAGTTTTTGGTTTAAATTAAGGATTTGATACTTCTAATATAAGACTTTGTAAGTGAGATATGAAGTTGAAACTTTGGCTTTATATGATGAGAAGCATTATGCATGTGGCTTACTGCTTATATGGCACCTGTGCCTTTTCTCACGTTACCTTATTCCCTTTATACTTTGGTGGATTGTCATAAACCATCTGTCTTCACTCGTGCGTGCAATAATGTCTGCGAAGTTCTGTTGGCCACTCACAGTTATTTCTATGTAAAGAGAGGATGGAGAGCGAGAGATGATGTTTTGCAACTGTATAGAAGTCTCGATTGCTCATTCATGTTGTAAGATCGGTTATGCATCTAATGTCACTGAGCCATCTTGGTTTGAAGTCCACTATACCTTATGGCCTACTTTATGTTTTTGCCTTTGACCCAACAAATGACGTCTTTGTGTTTACTATTGCCAGTAATGCCTATAGTTTTATTTTTTCTGTCGTCTGGAATTTCTTCCACATTTCTGTCCCCTTGATTGGCATCTTTTCTGCGCAAAGTTAGGGATTGTAGGTTGGAAATGACCTGGGGATGAGGTTTTCCTCTCTGTTTAACGTTGTATGTTGACAGTTGACTGTTGAACTGCAGAGGTAGGTAGATCAAGCACCTTTAGGACTTGGAAAAGAAAATGTTATCCTCCACATAAAAGACCTGACCTAATTAACCTTTTCTGGTTCTGGCTATTTATTCAAGGACCACTGTTTTCTAGAGATGTTGATGGGAATAGCACATTCATTATTGAGACCTCACTCATAGACGGACTCAGCTGTCTATTGTGGTGCTAATCGAACGTGTTTGTTTTCTTAAATGTAAGACCTGTCTGTGTTTGCTGGCCTCTCTCCATTGACTTGCTGGCTTTTCCCGCTGATTGTATCCTTAGTTTAAAATCTTGTGCTTATAAATTTTGAAGACCTTCTACTTAGAGGTGTGTTTATCTATTTTGGAACTCTCAAATGTGAGGACTTACCAAAGCATGAATGATTTGTATCTCATGTTTAGCTTCCCAGCACATGTCCTGCTTGGTTAAACCATGTACTCAGAGAGCTACTCAAATTTGAATTCAGCAGAGAAGAAAGACAGCGATAGTAGAAACAGTAAGAGACCTAATTGACCCTTTCTGGTTCTGGTTATATATCCAAGGGCCAACTTTTTCTCGGAGACTTTGATGGGAATACCACATTCCTTATAGAGGCCTCACTGACAATCGGATTCAGCTATCTTTTCTGGTGCTGATTGAACTTGTTTTCTTAAATGTAAAACCTTTCTGTGTTGGCTGGCCTCTCTCCACTTGCCAGCTTTCTCCGGCTGATTGGTTTCCTAGTTCAGGATTTTACTACAACAACAACATGCCCAGTATAATCCCACAAGTAGGGTCTTTGGGGGGGGGGGGGGAGGGGGTGTAGTGCGTATGCAGCCTTACCCCTACCTTGTGCAGGCAGAGTTCCTAGTTCAAAATTTTGTGCTTATAAAATGTGAAATCCTTCTGCTTTGAGTTTCATTTATCTATTTTGAAACTCTCAAATGATGGGGGCCTGTCTCAAACTGCCCAAGAGTTGCTAGTATTTTACTTAGGGTTATATGCTTCAAATCTTGGAGATTTTAGATGATACACTGGCAAGCATTTGAAATAATCGATATAACATCTTTTGGATTTATATTTTCAAGAAAAAAATGATTGCTTTCGTGGGAGATTAAAGCCGTCATGCATCAAGATATGTTAGTGCTAGAAGGTAACTTCAACAGGAGGCCCAACGAGTTTGGGCTTACGTCAGCGCGTGATTCTGCTCGAGAGTGTGAGTGGGAATAACTGTGTCCAAGTGTTCCTAGAATTTTATTTTGGGTTATATGTTTCAAATCCTTTAGCTTTTCAGTGAAACATAGTCAAGCATTTGAAATAAATCCAAAATAACGGCTCTTGGGTTTATATTTTGAAATCCAACTAAAATTATATCCCAACGGGTACAAAAGTTGGGATTGTGTATTTGAAATTACTATAGAGTCAACTTCCTCCATCTCAGCATGCCCTTAATTTTTTTTTTTGATAGCTATAGTGTACCTCGACTAATTCCACGGGGTACTTGCTACTCAACATGGCTTACATTATTGGACAGTTGTAGAGATGTTGGGATCCTTACTCAAGCTAATTTACGTATTATGTTTCTGCATCCTTACTCAAGCTTGAAGTTTTATGTTTCTGCATATGCTAAATCTAAGCCAGTGTGAAGTAGCGCTACTTATCCAAATCATTGCGGATGTTCTGTTGTTTTCTTTTACCCTAAGTTGCTCGGACTCTTCAGTTTCGATGCCGCACCCGTGTCGACATGACGTGGGTGTGGGTGTGAGATCCGTACCCGATCTGCTCAACCAATTTTGGGTACTTTGACCAAAATCGACGGAGAATTTCATGATAGATACAATTATTTCTCAAATCAGAACAAAAGCTAGGGTGAAATTAAAGAAAATACAATACCTTGTATATAGAAATTTCTATGCTAGTCCTTTTGCTTTTATCTCCTTATCAAATTCTCCTCTTGATCAACTATTCTCCTTCTCGGAATACCTTGTAAATTTTTCACATAATGTCTCACAATTTAGAATTTTTTTTGAACTTTTTTTTAGATATTTGAATTATCTTTAGCCGAATTGCCGCATCCGTATCTGTATCTAGATCCATACCCCTGAATCTTTATAGTTAGATCATGAGGGATCTGACATCTAGATCAGCAACCGTATCTGACACACCCGAGTCCGAGCAACTTAGCTTTTACCTAACTGAATTAATTGATTAATATTTTGATCGGTTTGCCTTTGAAAAGTTGAAAGGGATAATCGGACTGTGAAAGGGAAAAACCAGGTCTGAACCGAACACTGTCAGGATGTCTGTAACCCAATATAGTATCCTTTACATTCAATACAGTTCATGCCTCAAATATTTCCTCGTACATAACCTGATAAGGATGCACACCTAAGTTGGGCGGACTCTTCGATTTTGGTGCCGTCCCCGTCCCGATACGAGACGGGGACGGGAGCGGGAGCGGATACATCCCGGATTCAGTCAACTGAGTTCGGACACTTTGACCGGAGTCCATCGACAAATTTGGGAGAAAAATTGAGATTTTGATTTCTCAAATTAAAAAATAAAACAGATCTAGAAGAATGAAAGAATAATGTCCATCTTGGAGAATGAAAGATTGAATTCTACAATATTCATACAAGTTTTTCACAGAATATCTCTCAAAATTTATAATATTTTTATAGCTCTATTTTTTATTAGCCGAATCCCCGTACCCGTATCCATATCCGGATTCGCACACCCGAATCTTAAAATTTAGATTTTGTCGAATCCGATACTCGGATCCATCCCCGTATCGGATACCCGCACCCGAGTCGGAGCAACTTAGATGCACACGATCTTATGAAGAGTAAGAAAAAAAGCACATAAGCTTGAGAATTTTCTTAGTATATAGTTATCTACAATGCTGTCTTGGTGTTTTATGCTGTTCGGTAGTCTCATCACCAATGATTTCTTTAATCAGGTCTTTAAATATTAAGCGCTCAACATCCAATACCAACACTGGGATCTCATTGTGATGATTTGTCCAATCTTCTGATTGATGCATCATATCTTTATCTAGAATGCTGATCAATTCATCATCTTTAGAATCCATGCTAGCGTCTCTTTTAGAATTGAAATGGTCTATCTCTGACTTCAGTTCTTTCAGAATCTGCGTCGCATTCCAACACTTATTCTGCATTAAATTGTTATCCGAACCTAGTTTGCGGACAAGAATCTCATTGATGGTGTCAAATATGATCTTCCTTCTTGTCTTATGATCAAATTTTATCTGAGCAATCTCTTCACTGTGTTCTTCAGTTGCTAGCAAACTGCTTTCCTCAGTCTGCTCTACGACGTCGAACAACTTTGGGTTGATCAAATGGCTGGGTGAGTGAAGCTGAATGGTTGTGGACATGGAGTCCACATCTTTTAGAAGGCCAGATGCCAGTAGTATCTTACTGATGTATCTGTGGTCTGGATTGTGGTTCTGGCATAAGGATGCAAGTTGATCCATGTTTGCTTTGTGGATGGTGGAGTTTGGTTTTCTGAGCTCATGAACCAATTCATCCTTGCTTTCTAATATCTTATGGTTGGACTCGACGCCAAGGTCAAGTCTGGTCCTGTAAGGTGAATGATCTAGGTCATCTCGATACCAAACATCAGGTACTGCAAACCCATCATCTGTTAAGGTGGAAATGGACAGAGAAGATTATTAGTAGTCAAGTCATGCTTCTTCACCAAATTCAATTCTAGCAAAACTCTTTCTGCAGGTGAAGTTGTTCTTCCATCTGTTTATTTTCTTAATAATAAAAAAAAATTCCTACCCTTTTTTTTCTTTTAATTTTTCTGAGAATATGAATAGCGGAATCTAAACGTGTTCAAGTGTAATCATAGGGACGTGTTCTCGTCCAAGTTATGTGCCTCAGTCACATAAGTGGCCTCCAATTTGTGACTAAGATTATTTGTATTCTATGTGGTATTGATTATCTCTTGTCATGTGAACGTATGCATAACTCCTTTCGGTGCTATTTTCTAAGTTTAGTTTAATAAGCCCTAATAAAATGATGACGGTCACTAAGAATTACATTTTGATATTCTTTCAACTAAAGGTGGAGCCGAGGCATGCAATTTAGAGAAAGAAATAGAACGGAACAAGTCTTATTTTTCAGAGTGCAGTATTCAAGTTGTCATCTTTGAATTAAGCCATTTTGTTATAATTTCATTTTCCTTTTGTTCCAAGTGATGTATTGAACTCTGCTGTTGTGCTTTATGTTCCTCCATATAGTGCTTTTTCCTGGACGCTATGATTATCTCTAGTTTGCATCTAAAACAGATGATTTAGAGAAATAGAATAATACCTCTAAATGCAGTCACAATCTTCTTTTTGACTGGAGATGGTGAATCTTCGACATAGACTATAGTATCAAGCACTGAGACAGGACTTAGTTGTTCAACTGTCACTATTGCAAGCTCATTCGTTGGTGCGTCTTCACTAAGCCTCAATGTGTCACCCTGGACCGTGTCAAAGTTAATGTCAGCAAGTGTTCATACATTGAAAAACAGAGGTGAAAATGGGAAGTCGCTTACTCTTTCTTTATTGTCCTCTTGCCTCTTAGCATCAATCTGGAAGGAACAATTTGTGCTTGATTCTGTTTTTGCATGTGACGCCAAACTGTTGTCGATTTCCGATAGCACAGAAACTGCACCACTATGCTCACTGAAATTTCTTTTGTAATTGCTGATTTCATTTAGATCATCAGCTTGCTTCATATTGCTAGGTTTTACTTTCTGGTTCCTTTTTGAAGAGCCTGATTCTCTAATTTGCTTAATTGATTGCCTTCTAACCTTGCTGGTTTCTGATGATTGAATGGTCTGACAAGCTTGTTTGTCCATGCCCTCTTGTTTCTTCTGTAGTCTTGGACTTAAAGTTCCATAACTCTTTCCTAGTGCAGGATTGAAAGTTCCTTCCCTTCGTTGACGAGATGTTGTTTGCACTGCCTTTGATGTTCTTCCTATCTTCTTATCTGGGGAAGTAAGATGCCAACCAGAGCCTGCAACATTATTTGCTCTAGGTGTCATACCTTTGGATGTTTTCTTGTCAACTATGTCATCTCTGTTATATACAAGGTCTTGAGTGTAAACTTCTTGAAGTTTGGAGATATTTGCCGTTGGCGCAGCAGAACTTGCAAATTTGATTTTATCACTTGGTTTGGCTGGTTTTGGTGTCAAATTTGAAGTTTCTAATCTTTTTGGGAGGTGAGTCACCTTTGTGGTCAGAGATAGTGGGCTCCGTTGCTGCCCCTGCTGCACTGACTCCGCGTCAGATGCCCTCAGAGCTCTTTGGCCTTCTAATTTTTCTCTTATTTTCTGCATGGCTTCAAGTGTCTGTTTCAGAGCTCTTAGATCCATCCCGGACCTTCTGAACTCGAGCTTAGTTATCCGTTTCTCAATTTTGCCATAAGCAGAGAAAGAAAGATGTGGACTCAGTGGTGAACCTTCTACACTCTGTGGCGAAGCTTCCATACCCTTGCATCTAACAGATGATTTTTGGGAAGTCCGATTGGCCTCTGGTTGCCTCCGGGGAGCAGATTTTGTAGATGCAGCAGTTCTTGTGATTGGATTGGTGGATTTCATTCGTGGAGTGGAAAAATCCTCTTCCAGATTCTGTGGGGACATGGTAACTTGATTTATCTTACTCTTTCCAGCTGATCTTTTTGATAAATCATTGGCATGGGATGTCACAATCTCAATATCATTTGAGGGAACGTAATTTGGAAAAGCTTCCAACCCCATTAGCTTTGCTACAACACTGGAAGATCGATTACGACATTGCAGTTCTTGATCCCCTAAAAGAAAATTTGATCTGGATTCATAGGCTGATCTCCTCAAGGACTGTTGTCTGCTGTCCAGTGACAATCTAGGAAGACCTTTTAGCTTCATCATAGACTGCATCGTTTCTGTTGACTCTCTTCCATCACATGAGAAACGAGGACAATCCTTTGGTGCACGCTGTAAGAAACCAACTTTATCTTCCCCTGCATTCCAATGTGCTTCACAAAGCTTTGCAGGACCGCGTGCTGTTCCACTGGATGCCTTCCCATAATTCGAGTGCTGAAGAGGCCTCGGAGAATCTCTGTGCTTCATCACGTGGACTCTACCTTCTACTTTAGCAACAGTTTTTACAGATAAACTGCGGGCGTCCCTGTACATTGAGTCCTTAACTACATCTCGGAGATCAGGAGAGTGTCGACCTGAATGAGAAAGACTTGATCGCTTGGCTGGTAGGATTTGTGAAGGAGATTCTGATAAGTTACTTAGAGAATGACAAAGTGGCGCTCGTTGTACTCTTTTGTTATCTTGCAGTGTTGAAGAAGTAGATGGACTTAAAAAAGAGCAGGAGGAGGCTTTCGATGTTTCGTTTGAGGGCAACTCTCTTGCTGTGATCGCTTCCTGCAGTTTCCAATCACGCCAGTAAGTCTTTATAGGTTGACTTAGAAATGCTTGGATGAATGATTAGTTCAAGATTAAATCAATGTTCAAAATCTTACTATTTCAATTTCTGTTGCATATTTGGCTGCCATATCGTTCATCGCACCTTCAAGATAGAACAAACCAACAGTGGGATTCTCTTCATGTAATGCAGATAAGATTCAACTTTTACACTATACAAAGTTACTTGTAGGTCATTTTAGTCTGATGTTGTAATAGAGTTATATATTGCCGGGTGCGCAGAAGTTGAACTCATTCAAGTTAAGGGTCTAGTTAGTTTGAGCGAATTTCTTGAAGATGCACTGCGTTAAAATAAGTTGAACCACAGGGTGCAAGTGCTAACCCAGTAGGTAGAAAAACTGCACTCAAGAGGAGGAGGAATAGCTTTGACTTTTAGTATAAAAGATACTTACACCATTCAAAATTTATAATATGATAAAAAATATTTTAAAGTGGAAACTAATATGTTGTAATAGCATAATCGCCCGTTTGGCTAAGCTTCTTCAATCTTAAAAGTATTTTTTTCAAAGTTGAAGTGTTTGACCAAGCTTTTGGAAGGAAAAAAAAAGAGTAGTTTATCTTGGAAAACACTTTTTTGAAAAGCACTTTTAAGAAAAATATACTTTTAGAAGCAGTTTTTAAAAGCTTGGCCAAACATTAATTGTTGCTCAAAAGTATTTTTCAAATTAATTAACCAAGCACAAATTGCTTTTTACCAAAAATACTTTTGAGAAAAACACTTTCAAAATAAGCTGATTTTTGCAGCTTTGGCCAAATAGGCTATAGCTAGCGTAGAAAGATACTTACACTGTCATGTATACTTAATAAATCTTTTGCTTTTTACAAAGCTACAGCATTAATTTTACGGCCAGATAGATGTGAGGGCACTTATTAATATCTTTAACTCGAACTGTACTGGACGAATTTTCAGAAATATGTACCTATATTACTTACACCCATTGCCATGAAAATTAGTCGTGTAATTTGCACTCATTGACTTAAATTAGATAAATTGTTAATAATTTTAGAGGTGGATGCAGCCTTATAACACCGGATTCATATGAATTCAATACTTTCGATGTGAAAAATAAATTTATGAGTAAAAATTTATTAAAACTATAATAAATAATAAGTCTGCATCCATAATTTAAAAATATAATAGGTTAAACACTAAGAGTCTTAAATATTAAAATTGTTGTGTTTAGATTTTGAATCCCGCTCTAAATGATCTATTGCGCTGTCGATTATAAAACGGGTAACAATTATCCACGTTCTTTAACCTGTTTCCTTTTTTCTTAAGAGAACCGCCCCTCTCCTTTTCTAGCTGCCCTCCTCTGGGACTTTTAGCCAAAGGTCTAGTGGAAACTGCTTAGTCGAGTGAAATTTCCCTTTTTGTCTCATACCTCCTACCCCCCCCCCCCCCTCCCCCCAAATTATAGCCCCCAAAACTAAGTAAGCTAGCGTTTGGCCATAGATCCCAAATTTATTTTGAAAAATCTAATTTGGGTGAAGTTTGGTTTGAAGATGAAAATGGGTTTGGACATACGTTTTCAAAACATATTTTCCAACTTTATTTTGGAAAAACATGTATATAATTCCCAAGTTTTGGAAGCTTTGGGATTTTGGCCCAAAATCAGCTCAATAGCTAGCTGATTTTGGGATTTGGGATTTGGCCAAAATATGGGCAAAATTTATGGCCAAATATGAGTTTTAAAAATAAATCCCAAATTTATTTTGGCAAAACTCATGGCCAAACGGGGCCTAAAACTTTTGCCGAATATATTTTGTTGAGTCTTTCTACTTAATCACGAAAATACCAGTCTGGAGTCATTCTATGAAGACAGTTGTTGCAAAGGAGAGAAACGTCAAAATGACTTATAATTTTAAGAGGCATTTCAAGAACAGTGAATATGATATATATATTATATATATATATATAATATATATATATATTATATATTATATATATATATATTATATATATATATATATACAGTTGGTCATGAAAGAAAAGAACCTGAGAATAGTAGCCTTTTGTGACTTTGGAAATGGTGTCTGTCAAATAGCTGAAAAAACCCATTAATACAACCAATCTGCTTCTGCACTTGAAAATTTTCGGAAGATACTATTCTTCCAGACATTTCTCAAAGCCTGCAAAGGAATTAAACATTATACTCATCCGTTTCAAATTAGACAGGTATTTTCCTTCTTAGTCTGTTCTAAAATAAATAACATATTTTTAAATTTGGAAATAATTCAACTTTAAACTCTTCATCTTACTCATTTTATCATTAATGAGAAGCTTTTATAACTACACAAATGTCACGACCCCACAAAGTTTTAACCCCGTAGCTTTTGACAACAAGTTTCAAAAGTCTTTTTCTTGTTTCTTAAACTCCGTGCCAAGTCAAACTAGTTCATCTAAATTGAAACGGAGGGAGTATATAATCTTAGTGGGCGTTTGGACATAATTGTAAAATTTAAAAATTTATTTTCAAGTGAAAATGGTATTTGAAAATTAGAGTTGTTTTTGGACATGAATATAGTTTTGGGTTGTTTCTGAATTTTTGTGAGTGACCTGAGTGAAAATTTTGAAAAACAGTTTTTTGGAGTTTTTCAAATTTTCGAAAAATTCCAAAATTTATCTTCAAGTGAAAATTGAAAATTTTATGGCCAAACAATACATTCGAGAAAAAGTGAAAATTTTTGGGAAAAAAGTAAAAATTTCTTATGTCCAAACGGGCTATTAGTGTTAGACACTGCAACTTCTGTTTGGCTCTTTCTATCTTCTATTCCTGCTGTCCTTTCATATATAAAACAAGTGCAGAATGTTACATAATTCATCACATTGGAGGGAAAAGTTGTATGCTTTTAAGAGTAAGAGGTGAAAACTCATTTTAATATTGCATGCATTCATTTATTAGTTGCATGTCCCAAGAGCTAGTGGCAGATACAGAATTTAGATTGTTGTGGTTGAAGTAGCGAAGCCAGAAATTTAATTCCAATAGGGGGATTCAGAAAAATGCAAAAATGCTATATATACTACAGATTCAAATTTGTGCATTTAAACTCTATATATTAGATATATAGCGAAACACTAGATTGCGTCGAACCCGACGGCAAAATCATGGTTGAATCCGTAGAGGAACTCACCAGCGGATATTAAAGAGGAACTTTCTGATCATCAGCTATAGAGAAATGAGGGCAACAAGAAAGATAAAGTCACAGTGATTCGGTACAAGGAGTGAACAGGGGTTGAATTATGTGAATTAAGAATTAATGTAAAAAAAATGGAGCCACAGACTGTTAGTTAGGAGGCAAATTTTCTGACCCAAGAAAAGATGTTTTAACTGTTTTGCCCAAAGAACGAACAAAAGAGTAGAATGTTTATTCTGCCTGCGAAAAGCTGTTTTTAGAGAAGAGGGAGTGGGAAATTGTTGCAGGGAATGTTGCCCTTGCAATATATATATATATATATATATATATATATATGAGGAATAACTTAAATGATTTTAAATGAGAGAAAAGAATGGTAGGGTACAGAGGCAGATCTAGAATTTGAACTTTATGAGTTCAGAACTTAATACTTATTCATATTTATGTAAATTTTTTAATACATATACAAATTTTGAACAAAAATACCTAGTTCAGTTAAACACATAAATCATAAACTTGATATTTAAACAAAGAACGAAGGATAGAAGGACAAGTCCATTATCGATGGAGCTCAAAAAAAAAATGGGAGAATGTGTTGGGAAAAAGAAAAAGAAAGGATTAGATCAGAGTATTTAAGTGTAGGGATAGGACAAGTGGGTGATATTTTATATACTTTCCATATGGACAAAAATAATGAGTGGGAGAAGAGTCTGAGGTGTGGACATATATGTCACCTCACTACTAGTAATTCATATATGCATGTGGAGTTTGTCAGGTAGATATTAAGAAAGTGCATATACAATATATATATATATATACTATGACAATGCTTGCCCAGAAATCTAGAAAGTCCTTGCTATTAAGAAGATGGCAATGGCAGATAATTCTATCAAATTTATGTTGTTTACTTTTAGGATTTAACTTAATTACATGCACTCATATCACGGGAGAATTAAGAGTAATGATTTCAGCAAGATCAATATGAGAAATTTAATAGTACTATTCGTCTAATTTAATTAATTATAGTATGCTACATAATCATATCAAGATTTGTTATGAATAATTACGGATTGTTATAGCGTAAGAGATTCTTTGTTTTCTTAAACTGTAAGTAGAAGCTAAAATCTTATTTCCTCTCTAATTCTAAGGATACAAGACTAATGGGTTGTTTGGCCAAGATGGAAAAATAATCTTATTTTGATAAGTGTTTTTTTTTCAAAAGTATTTTTGGTGAGAAACAGGTTGTGTTTGGCTAATTAATTTAAAAAGAATTTTTAAGCAGCAATTAGTGTTTGGCCAAGTTTTAAAAAAGTGTTTCTAAATGTATTTTTCTCAAAAGTGCTTCTCAAAAACGTACTTATGGGAAGAAGCTACTTTTTTCTGCTTCTCCAAAACTGTTTCTGCTTCTCCTCAAAAACCCTTTTTTTTCCTCCTAAAACCTTGGCCAAACACTTTA